GCATTTTAACAATGGACCCTACGTGCTAAACTTGAATCCGCATTTCTAAAGTTTTCAAGCTTCTTCATGAGCTACAGACCCAGAAAGAGAGAGAGAGAGAGAGAGACCCTCATACATTCACAACCCCTCATCACTCGTGCTGCTGACAGTACATCTCTGGTTTTATAATGTAGGAACTGCCAAGTAGTGTTTAACAGCTGCTCTGCTGCTATAAATGTGACTGCTGTACTTCCTTTCTTTATCATTAGTTTGTGATGACTAGTGCTGCGTGTAAGATGCAGGGGTTTTTACATCCAATTTTTAAAATATCTTGGTTTGTAATAGGCAATAAACATTTCTTCAATGGAATGCAAAAAGTCATTCCAATTGAGGACAAAACAAAACAAGTTCAAGGTACATTGGAAATCAGGATTTGCTGCTTCATTAAATATTTTTTTCTTATGCCACTTATATCTAGCCGTCTTGAGTTCAGTACCGAGATGTGAATCATGTGTTATGTTTACTGGACCTTTTATTTCAAATTCATTTCCTGATATAATATAGACCATCAGCTCCAGCACACATAGGATTGCAGATATTAAGCCAAATTTTGGGCTATAGTTTCCTTCTACCCTCATTTTTTCTTTCTCTAATTTTAATAATTTCACACTAATAAGCTTATTAATTCTTCTTGATTGAGGCTTCAGACAAGGAACACAATTACATTGTCTTTGCTATTATTAGATTTATTTTTATTTAGAAGGGGTTAATTATGAAGTTACCTCCAGATATCTAATGAAGCAAAATTTCTTAAGCCATATCTTTGTGAAAAAGTCTAATTTTTAACATGCTCATCTGCAGTGAATTACAGCTTAAAACTGGTTTGTACATAATTTCAAATTAAAATGTCTAGTCCTTCAAGAGAAATGAAGAAGGGAAACCAGGAATATGTAAGGAAAATATTTAAACCCAGGAATATGTGAGGAAAATGTTTAAACCTAGAATTTAGTTTTTCTTCTGTATCTTCTTTTTCTGGGAAAAAAATAAATACATTGACTAGCAAGACTGCTGCTTGATTAACTCTGCTTGAGTGTGGGATTGTAGCTGGGACAACATGCAGAATCTTTCACAGGAGGAGAAGGAAGTAATTCCATCAAGTCTTTCCCCCTTGGTGCCATGATAATAATCCAAATAAATCATCCAAATTAATTAGACTAATTAATTTTGGAATCTAAGCCACTTTATGAAGAGTATACACAGTTACTTTCTTTTTCCTCTGTTTAATCTGAATGCCTTGTGTCCTTAATACCTAAATCATAAGGTGCTGTCTAGTTTGGAAATATAGTCTTTCTTATTGCAGCTCTGTATATTTTTCAGACCCCAGGCCTGTCTAAAATCCAAGTTTATGTAAAATGAAATAATCTTGAGAACTTTCATTCTGCATTAGGGAATTTCATGTGTTTATAAATATGGCATGGAAGGCAGATGAATACATTTTAGGAAAGTCCCCTCAACTAACCATTTAATTAGATGTTACATTATAAAGACTGTAATCACTATTTTATTCATAACTGTTGTGCTATAGGCTGTTATTCAGAGGAATGCATGACTGATCTCTCTTACTGCTCAATACTGCTGTCAAGAATTTCATTAACTCAGGTTGAGTAGGAGTAAATAATTACAGTGAATGTTATTCACTCTCCTCTGTGCCATTCTAATAGTATGCGTATCACTTCTACCGTCTCAAGTTTGGGGTTTAGCCTTGGTCTCTACAAGGCTCAACATTTTACCACTGGAAGTCTGCCCCTTGTTGATCAAGACAGGGGTCATTGCATTGGAATTTAACCACTTACTCTATAAAGATGACTGACAGTAATGTTACCCTTGTGATGCTTTGGTTTGGTTTGGTTTCACTCTGAGTCAGACAATACTCAAACATCTAACAAAAAAACCCTGGTATTTAGCAGCTCCTCAGAGAAATCAACATCTTTGTAGCTTCATTGCTATCAGGAAAGAATGCCCTTATTAAAGTATTTTGCAGTTTCTGTTATCAATAATGTCTTGGCTGAATCACCAGAATTTATTAAGAGAAACAGAAAATGATTACTCTGAACAGAATGTTCCCAGATAAAAGGCATTTGGGGCAAACGGAACAGGATTTTCCCCATGACACGTATTCAGAGTCTACATAGACAAGTAAATCATTGGGAGAGATCTCCAGATTTTTCAGAAAATAGTTCTGAATAAATATCTGAATAACTGAGTATCTAAATATCTGCGTAAATATCATGTTTCTCTTACTACCTGCATAGTACTGTGTTAGAAAACACATTTTTAATGTGTTAGAAAGCACTTCTCTTAACCATAAAAATTTTAGATTTACCAGAGCCCTGGAACTATGGAACTATTCTGATAAAGTGAGAAAGTTGGTTATATTTTTCCATATACATCCAATATAGGTTGTCTGAAAATACAGTGTGAATAAATTAACTATATATTTCAGACATTTTAACACCATTTTTTGACTCTTTGCAAAAAATTTAGACGTTTAGAGCAGTGTCTGTCTTCAATCATAGACTTCAAAAAAAGAACCCTAAAAATAGTATGTCAAATGGATCATTCAGCTAAAGTATTTGCAAAAGTGACAACATACCGTCGTGCTCTGACAGAGTTTAAGTCTGTATTGCTTTAAAGAGGAATTAATATTTAGAAGAAGTTAATTTGAGCCTTCTTTAACTTGCAAGTCACTTAGCAATTGAGCTGCTTGTTATTCTTCTAGTTATTTTTTAATAGTAGTTGTGGAAAATCCACTAGTGACTCACAGAGCAGACCTCTGTTTTCAAGTGTCTGTGAAAAACACCTTACACTTCATTCCTTAGGTAAACAAGATGAAGGAGTTCCCTGCCTCAATTGTCTCCCCGTTTTTTAATAATCTAAAAATACTGACTGAGTTTCAGGCTTAGACTTGAGTCATAGTTTAAGCAACTCATAGAACCATTAATCAAGTCTTATCAAACCACCGAAGAACAGTTTCAATTGTCTTAAGTTAAAGTGGGCACAATAACAGCAGCATGTTGGCTTTGGCAGCCTGCCTACCCTTTTATGTTCCCAGTCATTTTCTAACCCTCATATAAGCATGGTACTCACCGACATATGTACATTTAAGACTGAAAGAATTAAGAACAGCCCATTTTGAACAGTTCACCCTCTTACAAAGCATTTGTACAAAGCATTTTCAAGAATTTTTTAGCCAGTCACTTTGACTTTTTTTTCCTCAAATGAACTTGCTAAGCCTATGAATCAATAGACAGCCTGGCACAGAGAAGGAGAAAGGGAGAAAACTACCAAAGGCATATGTATATTTTGGGTTGTCAAGTTGATATTGATTTGGGGCTGTAATACCAACACGCTGTGACTACATGAAGATTGGGTTGGGAGACCATTAACAGTGGATACACTTTTGCTGTATTTATTTGTTGAAGAATTAATTTGCAAACTTCATTTGAACATCATGCACTAGTGCAATAGAATTTGCACTATGACTATCATTAGTGAGTTTGCTGATGTTATTGGTCTGTAAATAAATCTTTATTGAGGATTTCACTAATAGCTTTAGGATCCTCTATTATACTCCTACTGGTGAAATTTCATTGACCTGGATTTGAGCACCATGCTTAACAAACTGTCAGAAATTAATGGAACTGACAGATAACTTTGACATTAGGGACCAATTTTCTCAATTTTACTATACACCCTGCATAAAAATGCTTAGTTGAGTAATAGATATATATGAGGATTAATTTCTAATGCTTGTGAAACATTCAGAACCTAGAAGACTAGTTTTTAGAATTTTATTGTTGACTCACTGCTATGAAATTGAGGACAATTTATGGCTTAAAAACATTTTAAACAAATACTTTTTTCACAAAAAAATACAATTCAGTGAACCTGATAATATTCCAAATCTGAACAGGGTGGAAGGAACATGATCCAGCCTAGAAAAAAGCCAGCAAACCAAGAGCAAGGTGCTGAATGTTGTTTCTCAGCAGCTCATATATAAAATAGTCAGATTCTTTCTGAAAGGTTTTTCAACCATCTACTGGATCAGTAACACGCATCATTCAAAGAAATACATAAATATAGGTTAATTTAGTTTGGAAGGATCCTTAAGAGGTCATACAGGCTAGCACTGCCTCAAATTTAATTAGACCATGTTACTCATGGTTTTGACTATATGAATTTTGAACACCTCCAAGGATAAAGAACCAAAACTCAACCCTTTCAAACATTTTGCGTCTCTCACAACAAAGAAAATTTTCCTAACACCCAAGTGGAATTTCCAATGTTTGATTTTGTTTTCATTGCCTCCTATCCTTTCTCAGTGTGCATCCAAGGAAAGTCTGCTGCCATCTTCTCTGCATTTTCTTGTCATGTACCTGGAGGTGTCAGTAAGGTTTCCCATTTGCCTTCTGATCTCCAGCATGAACAAACCCAACTTTCTCAGCCTTTCCTCTTATGCCCTGTGCTCCAGCCCCTGACCATCTTGGTAACATCTTCTGTGCACTAAAGAATCCAGATCCAAACACAGCACTCCAGACATGGTCTCACATATGGCAAGCAGAGTGGGTGGGTGATCACTTCCCTGGATCTTATAGCTGTAGTTACTACCCCAGGGTTTTAAACTGGGCTTGCTTAAGCCTTAGCTCTCATTAAGGAAACATGAAATATGGGTGTTTTTTTTCCTTCTGACAAGAAAGATAAACACAAAATACTTCATATGAAATCATTGGGGCTTTTAATTTTTCCTATTCTGACTGAACAAAGCCATCAGTTATTCACAAAGTTTTAGAAAAAAAACCCACACATTTGTCTGGTGCACAGAACATCATATATCCTATAATTTATCTTACAGTTTGTTTAGCCGCATGGGGTTTTTGGTCATGTCAGCTTTGAATGGGAAATTGATCTTTTCTTCCTGTTATTTATTCTTTTCCTGTAAATGATAATGAAGCAATGCAGCCAAAAATGCACCATAAGGTAATACAATCCTTATGTTGTGATTAAGACAGAAGACAGTGTGCATTTCTAGAGTTGCTGTTTTGCCACCAAAAATCTGTAATCATGTCAACCTTGATTCTGTTGTTAGCTCACATTCTTTCTGCCTTCTGGATTTGGAATGTAAGCAGCCTATTTTATGAAAGCAAGAGTGACCTCTACAAGACTAAATCTTCAGTCAGAAATCAATGGATCAGTATGCAGTGGCAGGCAAAAGAAGTCAACAAAATACTGGAAGCCATCAGGATAAATGCTGAGAGAAAGAGTGATGGGAAGAATAATTTTCCTACTATATCAAAACTCCTCATGTCCAGTTCTTCAGAACTTAGTGCAGTTTTGTTCTCCAGATCTCAGAAAGGAAATGATGACAGTGAAGAAATTACCCAGAAGGCAATTTCAATCATTAAATTGAAGGACCAGCTACCAAATGAGGAATTTGGACAAGAGGAAATCAAAAACTTCATAAAACTAAGTTGTGCAAAATCATGAAGGTACAGCAGAAGCTGAATGTAAAACTGATATAGGCCAAACTGTACAATATTAGATGCATGGGGCATTGAATCACGTTTGCAGGGGTCTGATTAAAGATAGAGAAATTAAACCATCTCTTGTAGAATAGTAAGTGGATATCTGGAATTTGTTCTTACAAAGGATTGTGAAGACATCCAGCATCAGTCAAAAACTCATCAAACTCATGTTCTCCCTAGATATTGTCTTTAATTGTCATTGCTAAGAGACAGAATACTGATAGATTGGTCATTTATTCATTTGTATGTCAAATAGAGAAACTGAAGCAATTGAGCAAAACTTAATGAAAGTAATTGTTTTTAATGTTACAATCAAAGTTTTATGCTGTGAGAATTAGGTACTTTGTGAAAAGGATTAAAAACTAGATTGATCCCTTCTTACACAAAGGCAGGAGAATCTGATTCAGCCCTTTACTGCATGGTTAAGACCATTTATCTGGGATATGGGTGAACCTCAAGTTCCTGCTTTGTTAGGTTCATGGATGTAAAATTTTGTCTCAGTCAAATTCCCTAATAACCAAAAGTAGATCTGTCATGTTGCAACATCCTCTTCCATATGAAGACTTTCAGTTTCTGTAAGTCAATTGGATTAGTATTGCATAGAAATGACACTTGTTCTTTTTGTTCAAGTGCAAGTCAGGAGCTGTTACATGTGATGTATAAACATAAGTGATAAAAACTGAATTCATAGTTATTTGAATAGTTTTAAGTAGTTATTTATAGAGAAGCAACCTTCAGAGAAAATCTTAATCTTTCATAATATTTTGTTACATTTTTAGATAAAGCTTAAAAGTATTTCTTCAATGTTCCTCTTTCCTCATCCAGGAATAAAGAAAAAACAAGAATACAGCAACCTTATTTTTAACCAGTCTAATAATCTCACTATTTGACAGTAATAGAAGTATTTTTCATTGCCAGAGTTTTCTATGTCAGCTCTGAACAAGTTTTATAAATTATTTTGCAGTGAAAGGACATAAAGCAACAGCTCAACTTAATGCATAAGCTTTGTGAAATGTTCAGTGAACATTTGTTATGGTTCACTTTCAGGCAGGAATTTCATTTTATATGCTAAGGAAACCAAGCCACATATGACACCAGATTTTTTACTAACTTGAAAGATTCTGACACAACTATGCACAGATATCTCCTAATTTGTTTATATAATAAATTCCACTTCACATCTGGCTAGAGAAAAGTGGAATAAACAAATGAAGATGCTGAAGGTTCAGGAGCATATGGCTGGAAATTCTCCCAAGGCCTTGCTCTGACTCTCTCATGGCCTTGCCAATATCATTATAATGAAGGCTGAACATGCTCCAACCATTTTAAAACAGTCAGGGATAGAATCTATTTTGATTTAAGCCAAATGTAATTTAATGAGCTTTTTATTGGTTATGAATCTGCAAATATGAACCATCATAGACTAATTCACAAAAATGAGATGGATATGGCGTGCATTTTGTGTGGTCTTCCTAGCTAAAGCATGCTGAAGATATGGAGGTGGCTCAAGACAGGCAGCACAGCTTCACACAGGGCAAGTCCTGCCTGACTAGCCCAGTGGCCTTCTACAGTGGAGCGGCTGTAGCAGTGGACAAGGGAAAGGCTAGAGGTGTCACATGTCTGGGCTTCTGTAAAGCCTTTGACATAGGTCCCCACAATGCCCTTCTCTCTAAACTGCAGAGAGGTTGATTTGATGGTGCACTGTTCAGTGGATTCCATCCTTTGCAGGAGAGGTGCTCCATCCCTCTGATCATTTTTGTTTGGGCATCTGGCTCCAGGTAACCCTAGCTAAACCATGATCTCCTGGCATCTTCTGCAACATCAAAGCTATTGAATTTAATTTTTCAGCATGGATATGAACAAGCATTTCTAGCATCACAGCTTTTGCAAGTCTTCTTCTCTGAACCAAATCCTTTAACCCCCACTAGCCAATTTGAATTACTAGCAGTTGGTTTTATCAATGCAGTGAATCAGAGCACACTGCCTGATTAGGAAAGAGGAAGAAGAGAAAGAAGCTATCTGCTAGTAGGAAGAAGTGACATCTTGCTATCTACTAGTACAGAAAAGAAAATGCTGAATGCCAGGTCTAAGGGATACATGAATGGAATTTTTCAGCTGACATAAGAACGGAGATAGTGTGATGAAAAATTCATTTCTCATGACTTATCAGGAACACTGCGGAAATTCCTTTCTTTTGTTGTCATTCCATCCCACAGCTACCATGTGAAAAAGAGGAATGGAAGCTGTTGTCTTCTTCTGAAAGTGAATAAAGAAGGACATTTATATAGCAGAGGGTAAAAAGAGTAGGATGTCAGAATGGCAGAGAAATTAGGAAATCTGGAGTAATGGCTGAAAATACTCTCTTCATATTATTCATATAGAGCAGTGTTAGTGTGCAAGAGAGTGTTGAGGCTTTAGATAGACTAAATAAAATGTTCAAAATATTGCAAATACTTATCTTGAGAACTTAATCTGAATCATAGTTATTTGCATTTGTGAACTATATTGGTTGCTTAATTTTTCTAGATCGCTTTTTGATCAGTATTTCACAGTTACTGAAAATTCACTGATATCATGAAGATATTGACTGATAAATTTGAACATGATAATTTCAAATGACAGCCAATATATGGAGCCCCAGCTTATTATGTTTATTACTAATTCTCACTCAAAAATCTGTGATGTATGGAACTTGAGTATGCCTAAAGTGTCACATAAGCATATTCACTACAATGTTTTCAAAATATCTAACTTTGATGTTTGGTTACTGAGGAAACCTCACCACAGGCACTGGGAGCTGCTGTTAGGTCCTCCTGAAGCTGTCACTGCTCCAGGCAGAGTCCAGCTGTTTAGCCTCTCCTCACAGTGCAAGTGCTCCAACCCCATCATCTTGGTGGTCTACCATGAATTTGATCCAAATGTGGAAGTGAGATTTATGATTAAATGTAGAACCCTCTTTTTATTATATTTCTTTTTAATGGGAAAATTTTGACATTTATTTCTGTGCCACACCACTTTATGGTTGAAAATATGCACTTTGCTAGGTAGCACCAGGAGTTTTTTTAAACTCACCTTTAGTAATCTCTCACCAGTTACCCAAACCTTAATTTTAAACTTACCATTTGCTTGTTGTACTTTCTATAAAACTGTATGCATCAGTCTTCTAGTTTATACCCCCCTTTCCCTCAAGAGCTTTTGCAATGGGGTTGAGAAACTGCTTTGTAAACAGCCCAGTTGTATAAACAACAGTAATGTGGTTGGCAAGCAAAACCCACGGCTTTAAACTTTAAACTTCCTTTCCTAAATGTTTTTTAAAATGTATGGTTTTGGACATAAAACTCCTTACAAATAAAAAATTTACAGTAAACTTTATTTTCATGTATTTCCATGAAGGACAAGTACCTGTCCAAAAGATTTGTGATGCTTTCTCCTTCAGATAATGTCAATGCAACTTTTTAAATTCATTTAATATAATTCTGAATTCACAAAATTATTTGTGTGCATATATGAGAGGCTCTGATCTTGAAAAGAAGTTTGTAAGCACTCAGATGGAAATTCCAATAGACACAGGCTTGGAAAAATGTAAGAAATTAGGAATACAGTTCAATTAGGGTGTACCTTTAATGACTGATGCCTCTGGAAGGAGTCAGGTAATACCTCATTCAGTAAATATGAACATATCTTACGAACAATGGACACAACTCTCATATTTTTCACTGGTGCTGAAGAGACACTTTCTCTCTACCCTTGAAATCCACACCAAACCTGCCCTGTTCCTCTGCTTAATTTCTTCTTACAATACCTAGAAAAACAAAAGCCTTCATGGGGTTAAGTACTACAGTTTGTAGTGCTTAACTTTGTAGTTAAGTACGACAAACTAACTGGCTTGACATATCTAGTCCAGTGAAGACATCTGTGGCTTATTATTACTTAAGAGGAACTGAAGATACAGTGCTCTTGAGAAGTGACCAACAGAAATTCAAATCAGAAATTATGAGCCTTCATTATCAATAGTAAATGTATTAGCATATGTCAGAGAAAAGTGCTTGTGGAGGCAGGAATGAGACTTGTGTGTTTCTGTTAGGCTCCTAGCCCAAATTTTCAAATTTACTCTGAACTTAAGTGTTTCAGAGCACATTACATTAATTTTCATTTCACACTCCTGAAGGAGACATTTGTCCCTCCTGAAGGTATAGATTCCACAAATTTAAAATTCAAACTCCACTTAGACATTTAACATGCAAAATTTCTGTTTCCTTTGGGTAATTTATTCAAATTCCTGAATCCCCAAAATTTTAGAAAAAAATGTTGAATTGCTTTATTGATAAACCATCAAATGCATTTTTCTTCCTAATGCAGATTTTTTAACAGTTACAATTAACTATGAAAAATTACTATCCGTTCATAGTGAGGGTCTTAAGTTTTAAGGATAAAGTTGCTACAGCAAAGTACTTAAACAGTAAATTGACAAGACAATGACAGACCTTTTTTACTATGATGGAAGAGCTAAAATAAAAATGCTTTAAGGACATAACATATGTATTTTGGGGCAGACACTAGAAATAAAATACATCAAACCATACTAAGACCTACTTACGAGTGTCAGAGATCCACAGTGCCACCAAGATAATCTTTAAATATATTTTTGGGACTGTGTGGAATCTTAAATATTAGAATTTAAAAAGGGGATTAAGATGATGGATGTATTAAAAAAATAGAAAATTAAGTTTTTACCTTGAATCTATTTTCATAGTTTCATTTTCCTTTAGTTTTATTGTAGTGTTGACCAGCTCCTTCCCCTAAGCATTAAAGTTATGTTAGCTAGACACAAACTCATGAACTCATTCACCTACACTTTTCTAGCAATAGAGATAAGTAGATATTTTGTACTTGATCTAGGCAGTCACTTTGTTTGGACAAAGAAAATTTGGATTCATGTAGCTCTTTGAAGGCTTTTCTCTCTTTCAATTTGCCTGTGGGCATAAGGCAGGGTCCCTGTTTCTCCCAGGTCAGATGAGCTGTGAGCAGGAGCACTGTTGTGGAAGGAATGGATATTGCCCAGCTGCCCACCAGCTGCAGGGCTGCCACCTTGTGCAGCAGCACAACAATTCCCTGCAGTGTGACAGCTCCTGGCTTCTTCAGGCATCAGCAGAAAATTGGTGAGAAGTTCAACTCCAGAAGAGGTCACCTGAAGCGAAGTATCTCTGTGTGAGCCAGCTGGGGCTCCTCTTGAGCCAGCAAAGCCCAGGGGTGAGGGACTCAGCACAGCAGCCTAGAGAAAGGTATCTAATGCCAGATGAGGTGCAGGGGGAACCCAAGGCATCTGCATGGGACAATCAGATATGACACAGGACTGATGAGGGCTCTGTCCTTCAGGCAACGTTAGAAATCTGTCTGTGGGCAGCTGAAATAGCCCCAAGGTGCCTACCTCAGTGTAATAAACTAAACTGCTGTCTAGGGATTAGAGAGTGCTTTGACTTCATTGATTATAATGAGACTTCAGACACAGCACCCAGGAGGGTGCCCAAATTTAGTTCTGCAGACAAAAAGGCAGTTCATCTCTGGTGCCCTTCATCTCTGCTCCACAGAGTCTACAGGGTCTCATTCAAACAAGAGTCACTGCCTCTTGGGAATGTTTATATGTTTCTTGCTTCTGGCACTGGACCATATTGAACATCTCTGAGCTCCCTGATAACATCTTTTTGCTATCAAATGGCATAGGGATGCTGCTGTTTAATATAAAAAGGAGTCAGGTTGCTGCAACATCCCCTGTCATCCCAGCTCAGTTGTCTTGGCCTCCCCTTTTTGTCACAGGTCCCAGAGATGGAGTTCACCTGGAGAGGCAGAGCCAGAGTATTTCCATGTGTTTGGAACTACTCTGAGACTCCATTTACCCATCTGTACAATGGGCCTCAGAATAACATCCTTTTTCCCAGAGGAAACTCATCTAAATGTGATGGCACAGGCCCAGGCACTGGAAATGTTTCACTTGAAATACAACTACCTTGTGGTAAGAAGCATTAACAAATGGGACCATTGACTTTTGCTTATTTTTCTTAAGTGAAGTGTCAGCTGTTTCAGGGTCAGTGATCATTCACCACATTCACTATATACTGTTATTTTGGGCACCAAACACAGACTGTAAATCAAAACAGGGCACCTTTCAATTATTTGTGTTAGCAAAAGGTATGTTGAAATCACATGGTTGGCTCAATTCTTGTTTTCAAATAAATAGTACCTAAATGTTGCTTTAAGTCATTTAATTTCTCCTTGACACATCTTCCATCCCCCATTTTCCATTTTTCCTTGGGGGTTGAAGACCATCATGATTATTCCAGTCTCTGCAGTGCCTGTGTAAATTACCATCAGTCCAGCTAACTTTACCCACACCCACAAGATGACAGAATTGCAGAAATTTTGCAGTGCTTGTTGAAATCTTACTAGTCAGCAGTTCTGTGGGTTTCAGAGCTTTTAAAATAAAACTTTCCAGGCTTGCTTATTTGCACTGGGGTCAGCACAAGGTCTATGAACCACTGCTGACTCTTTTTACCTTAATTTACACCTCTCTTCATAGTTTTAAATTAATTTTCTGCTTCAGACAGTGGCATCACCTGATCCACAGATTTTGCACCTTACATTACCCAACACTGGGTGGCTTTGACTTTCTTGTTTGTCAGTGCCAGCTTTAAAAACTCCCTTTGTTTGAGGTTTTAAAGAGATACTATATATAAAGGTAAGACCTTCAGGGGTCTCTACTTAGTTCCCAGCTCAGTCAAGACTTTATCTCCCCTAAAAAATATCATCATACACTGCATCTGTGACACTGTTTCAGAAAAAGGGGGAATAAAACTCATTTTCTTTGAGCCTTTTATTTGCTTGCTTGCATGGCCTTTCACCATTGCTGCTTTGCTTTGTCTACAGAAGACGTAAATCCATGCCTCAGTTTAGGCTTCTGGCCACTGATGTTGTATAAATAACAATAAAATGTGTAAGAAAACATATAGGATTTTGTATTTTTACATTGCCAGGACTCTCAAAGGATTTAACTGAATGTTCTGAAAACATGATTCAGCCATAATACACCCTCAAATGGCTCATTGCACACAGTCTTTCAAAAAACAGGTTTAGGTTTAGCCTTTTGATTTACTCCCTGTGACAAAATAGCTACAGACTCCCTGGTGGTTTTTTTTTTTTTCTCTTTGTATGTTTTTCTACTCACATGCAGAATCTGTTCACTACAGTGGACTATTTCTTCATGTGTTCATTTCATTTAATTCTCCTACAGTAGCAAAGATCCAGCTTTGCTCATCTTTTCTTGCACAAAGAGAAGTTGTTTTCAGAAAAGCTGCCTGTTCTAGTTTATTCCTGTAATTACTTTGCCCATTTTTTATATTATTCTTTAGAAATGCCTCAGGACAGCTCTCCAAAGGCAACAAAAGCAAAGTTTTTGAAAGAGATTTCATAGTGAACTTCAAATGACTTCAGAGCATTTGTAAAAAAAAAAAATCACAGAAAGTGGAAAATCTTTCTTCCTTGCCTAATATATCATTCTCTTAATGCAAGACAATTATAATTATTACTGCTTTGTTGACTGCAGCTTAAACATTTTAAAGAACAGGTTTCCACATCTCCTGGGAGTATTGTTGGGTAGGCTAACAATGTTCTTTAATTTTACTCTTGAGCCAAGCTAAATATTTATTTTTAGTTCTATATTTATATAATTCAATATTGTCACTGAATATTTGGTGTCACCTTTAACTGGCAGTAAGCTGACCTATGTTTATTAAGGTAAACCTGAAACCACTGAGCGATAATTTGGGATCATCTTCTCCTCAAGTGTAATGGACTGATCACATTTTTGCAGTAACAATTGGTTAAGAAATCTCTCCTGTTCCAGAAGCAAAGACCCCAGTGTCTGAGCTGAGAAAGAGTAATTCTACAGGGACTTGACACAGAATAAAAACCTTTTAACTACATCTGGTAAGGGGCAGTGATACACAAATGGCAGTATAAAACTGTGCTTTTTTATGTATAAAGAACCTAAATTCAGAGAATTTGGAATTTAGTGAAATGTTACCCATAGAGTTTTAAACTATTCATTTCACTCATAGATTTCTGAGCTATGTCGGGTAGTGCTATGAACAACAATAACATTCCCAGCTTCATCATCTCCAGGAAAGCATTGCTTACAGCCACAAGAAACAAAAGGCTGCACCACTGCTCTTAAGCTCCACACAAAGCAAGCAAAATACACTGTAAACACTGCTTATCTGCTAACTGGGTATCCCAACATTATTCAAAGCAGTGCTGCAACTGTCAGTACAGAAATGTTGGAGGGAAAGAAATGGGACACAGAGTTAATCTGGCAGTCTGCACTAGCAAAGGGTGCACTGGCAGTATGGATCCAGTGCTTGTCCTGAAGCACTTCAGGGGAGAACATTTCTCAGGAAGGTGGAATAACTAATTAACAGTCTTTATATCCATTGCTGAGCAAAAGCCTCAGTGCTGCTGACAGACAATGTAAAGGAGAATATACAAACTGCTTTAAAAGATGTTGTCTGTTCCTAAGTGTTGTGACCATATTTAGCAGTGGCTGAGATGGGCAGAGAGGCAGAAACAGCCTACATAACAAATTCTTCTCAGCATTATTTGCTTTTGCTGTTTGTCATCATAAAACACACAGTTATCATTGTTTGAGTAATAGAGCTTTTACACATTCAGCTTCACTGATTTTTGTTGTTTTCCTGTTTTGTCAACAAAGGAAAATCCACATCAGGGTATTGTATTCCAGGATGCCTGTACCATTGTCTGCCAGAAAGCTGCCTGAGGTTTTCCATACAGGCGAAAGAAATTATCCATGAAAGAGCGAGGCAAATTCAGCAGAAACCACATCTCCCCTTGGACCTGTGCTTGTCAGCAGGTGATATGATACAAGTTATAGCAGGAGCTGAGATTGTGGTGATACCTTATGTTTGAGGTATAGTAATGACCATTTCTGTCATAATGGCAGATGTTTCCTGCTATCCACTTCATAAGAAAAAAAAAAAATCACATTTTTTTGTTATTTTGACACACAAATCCATTGTCTATCTGTAGCTGGTAGATTGCCTCTCTCAAAGTATTAGCTCTCTCATTGATCTATGTTATCATCTTCTCATAAAGTAAATTAAATTCAGATTTTTGGAAGATAAATTGTATGAATTAGTCACTCTACATGACCTCCTTTGTTACTAAAAAAAAATGCTTTTAAATGTTCTTAATCTATTTCCTGATATTTAGCATTTCTGTTTTTGAGTATGTCAGACAGTAAAGTATTCTGTAATATAGATAGAAATTCTCTTTAAGGGTCTCTGAATTAACATTTTTGTTAATGCTATGGAGTTATAGTTCTTTACAGAAGCAAAATCATATTGTATATTCTATAGTGTTATTTTACTAAAAATTGCTTTTGAAGTAGTGCAATTACTGAAAAGACGCAGATTTTACTTTAAAATAAGGACCCTTGTTTTGTATTTTTATTGTTTATCAAATGGTAAAAAAGCCAATTTTTCTAGCAAAGAAAAGTAAGTTATTGCAGCATTGTTGCCAGTTATTGCCAGTGGAAGTTACTGCAAAATAATCAACAAGTGTGGTTTGCTTATGCCCATTTCTTCCCGCAGTTTATGTCAATATTCAGAGACCTCATGTTTATACAAAGGTACAGTTTCAGAGCTCTCAGCTGGAGAACGGATGCCTAAACCACAGTGCTGGGGAGGAGAAACAAACCAGCCATCTAAGCATGTTTACTTCCAGCAACAAGGAAGTTCTAACTTGTTTCTAAGTGGTGACTCACTGGATTGGGACTATAAAAGTAAAGGTAGCTGCTCTCTAAAACATCAGGGCTTCAGACTTCAGAAATCCAACATGATGCAATCAGGACTTGCTGCTGTTTTCTTTTTCTTGATGGGTTTGTCATTTTGCCTGACAATCCCTATTCCCCTTGAAGACAGCCATGAATTCACAGAAAGGGACCTTCAGTTTGCAGAGGTATGGTATAAAATAATTCATTTGCATGTTCCAATGACACTAAGCTGCACAGTTACAACTGCTTGGAAATCAGGCTTATTACTCCTTTTCCCCTTCTTAGCGCTATCTCAGGACACACTATGATCTCCGCCCGAATCCTGCTGGCATAATGAAGAAGAGTGGGAACACAGTCGCAGCCAAACTTCGGGAAATGCAAGCTTTTTTTGGCTTGGAGGTGACAGGAAAATTAGATGAAGAAACATATAAGCTGATGCAGAAACCAAGATGTGGTGTCCCAGATGTGGGGGAATATAACTTTTTCCCTAGAAAACTCAAATGGTCAAAAATGAATTTGACATACAGGTAAATGCCTGGTATTTTGAGTATTATTACTATTATTACCTTCTTTCCAGGTATATTGTCCAATGGGTTGCTCAGTACATGAGGTTGATGTGAGAAGGGTGCATTTGTGTTTGACTAAATTAATGTTGCATTTTAAAACCCTTACAGACCCACTTTTGTAAAGGTGCTCCCAGCTTACGTTGCAGCCCAAGGAAGTACACATGAATTTTTTCCATTGCACTTTGTCATGGAAAAGGAAACCTGGTGGGCTGTAAGCCAGCAACTCCTCATTTCGCCTCCATACAGACACTCAGGACACATCCATGGTGCCAAATGAAAGAGGGGTAGGGGCCCAGATCATGCACTTCTCTGGGTCACTCCTTAGCTCTGTTTGGACCTGGTTTAATGTTTGCTTCTGTCTTGTCCTGTACAGAGATGTGCAGATGCAAACCAGTCTGTGTGACTGTGAGAGCAAGCTCTTCCATTTCACATCCCAGATGTAGAGCTCTGTCTTCGGTCAGAGAAATCCCTGTACCATGACCTCAGAAAAGTTGACCTTAGGAGGTGAAGGTCTGACAGTTCAGAAGGTGGATCCTTCTGCTTTAATTCTGCAAGGTCATATATCTGGAGCTTTCAATAGCTACAGACTGAGTTCATTTAGCAGATTCTAAATATGGTAAAATCTCTTCATTCCATAGCTAGTGATAAATGTTTCTTTAATATGGACAATTACAGTCCATGAAAAATCACTTTGGATAATGTTCTGCTCCTCCAGGAAGTGAGGATCATGAGATATTTTATATGACATAAAAGTTTTGAAGTTACTGGTATGATTTTACTTACTATTGAATATATCTGTCACTTTCTAAATCCTCTGGTGCATAGAAAACCAATTACAGAAAGCTGTTGGATCATTGCAGATATCTCTGCATTATTTTAATGATGATAGAAATGTTTAATTTTTTTAATACTGTATGCAGTTGCTAAGCTCCTTGTTATGTGATAAGATCATATGAGAAAAGCAAAAACTTTTAATGAGGTGTACAGTCAGATAAAAGTGCATTGCATATTTCTTCAATTCACACAATTTACCTGGAGATGTTAATCTGTTTGACAGAATTATGAATTACACTTCAGATCTGAAACGTAATGAAGTAGAGAGAGCTTTCAAAAAAGCATTTAAAGTTTGGTCTGATGTGACTCCACTGAACTTCACCAGAATACGAAGTGGTATAGCTGATATCATGATCTCCTTTGGCACTAAAGGTAACACAGAACCAGTTGGTTTTATTTTAGAAGTAAACTATATTCCTATATACATAAAATGGATGTTTTGAATTTTGCTTTATAGAACATGGTGACTTCTACCCTTTTGATGGACCCTCTGGATTACTGGCGCATGCTTTTCCCCCGGGCCCAGACTATGGAGGAGATGCTCATTTTGATGATGATGAAGTTTGGTCAGATGATTCTAAAGGTAACAGAAGGTCCTGAGATTATTTGAGATTATGATAGATGGAAAATTTATCCCTGTTTGATATCTGTAGACAGTTTGTTTTGCCTGTTGACTGTTTGTTCATCATTATGTTCACTGTTCACACATAGAACGCTGAGTTTAACCTCCAGTCATAAATGGAAGTTTAACATGTGTTTAGCATAAATTTTAAGATATTACATTCCTAAGTGAAATGATTACAAAAAAATTACACAATCAAGATTTTGTCATTTTGGCATCTCACTAAGGGCAGCTAGTTCTGATCACAGACTGATGGGCACTGCCTTACTGAAGCCTATAGCAGACATACCTCAGCTGGACACTGTCTGCTTGCATTTAATTTGAAAATTCATCACCTTGCCTATTCCGGACAGAATTTAATAGAACAAAACACTATTTTTTTCAGCACTGGATTAGGTCACCCTCCTGATATTAATGCTAATTTCTGCAATAATGGACTCTCTTCTTCAGATGAATTCCCAACAAAATGTTCATGATTTGAGTAGGATCAAGACTTCACGCTAGATCTTTCCGGAGTTGCTAAGAAATTTCAAGAAATGTCAATCTCCTTACATAGTAACACTGTCTTGTAAGAGTTAGGCTGAACACCAGCTATGAGACACTAGATCGCTTAGGCCCTTATTAATATCTATCATAGTTCAAAATTCACAAGCAATTATATCTAGTAGAAGGTGTCCCTGCTCAAGGCAGGGGGCTGGAACTAGGTGGTCTTTAAGGTCCCAAACCTTTCTATGACTTTATGAATTATGCAGAATTTTTCCATGTATTCAGTTGTGTCATTCATTGTCTCATATGTTAAAGCACAGTGTCAAGTATGGTGATGCAAGGAGATGCACATTTACTTTTGCTGTGGTTTGTTATAGGCTATAACTTGTTTCTTGTTGCTGCCCATGAATTTGGTCATTCACTGGGACTTGAACACTCTAGAGACCCTGGAGCTTTGATGTTCCCAATCTATACATACACTGGAAAATCTGGTTTTGTGCTTCCTGATGATGATGTGCAAGGGATCCAAGAACTCTATGGTAAATCTGTATAATATATAGTATTTATCTCCTGTATCATTATAGCCTGCTGCAGATGTGCTGCACTGTTACTGTGAGCTGTATGTGTTCAGTAACAACAGTCATGACCCATTAAGAAGGATTCACTGGAACAGGAGACTCTTAGATTTAGTAGTTGAGAGGGGAGAAAAAATAACTAATGCTGCAGAGAACAGCTGGTCATCACTGACCTCTTTCCTTTAGTGGTAGGTGATGGGGACCAGAGTCCTACTTTTTGACCTGCCTGAAAAGAGAAGGTAAAACAGAGTCTAAAGGTAGAAACAGAGCTATCCATGTTTCATTATGAAAAGCATAAGGTTTTTGAGGACCTTCAAAACTTAGGATAAAGAAAGCAACTTTATTTAACACCTTTGCAGCACACTTGAACTGCAAAGTTCATAAATTAATTTGGCTAGAGGAAAGAGAGAATACATTTTTCTGTAAAAATTTTTTACCTGTTATGTTTGTATTCATTATGATCTTGGGAGATCTTCCATTTTCTGTTCAATACCATGATCAATAGACAGCAAATTAACACTGTCAAGCTTACATCATGCGATATCATTCCAGGTGCTGGAGACAAAGATCCCAACCCAAAACATCCCAAAACACCAGAGAAATGTGATGTGGAATTATCACTTGATGCAATAACAGAACTTCGTGGAGAAATGCTGGTCTTCAAGGACAGGTAAAGACACTTTCATATCAAGGATGGTGGGTACTGGATAAAGTCTGAGCAACCAAAAACACCCTTTCAGGTTTTGTTACTAAAAATTTTGGTAAATATGCATTTAAAAGAGCACCAATCAATATAGATATCTGTTAAGAAATTGCATCATATATATTTTTAGGTGGGATTTATAATGCAACTACAGACTTGACTTCCCAGCAATATGAAGATAATATGGCTGAAGACTGACACTTTTGTTCACATTTTTAAATTCATGCGATTTCTTCAACATGTATAAATCTGCTAATTTTATTTGGGTGAAGTTCTACTGCATTCAGGAGCTTCACATAGGACAGCAGTGTTTCTCTTATTCTAAAAGAAAGAATCTTAAAATTTGTTATTGTTTGAGATGATCACTGTGTGAGTGACAGAAATGGTCTGCAGCTGATGGCTGTGAGGAAAGGAAAGGTCTAAGAGGGGCTCAGTCTATTCAATATTCTGTGATATGATAACCATTAATTCACCAGTAATTTATTTTAACTATTGTAAAGATACTTGTCTTAACAAAGATATTGCTATTCTACAGTATGACAAGAAACATAAAATATATCTTCCTTTTCTGAACTAGGTTTTTCTGGCGACTGCACCCTCAGATGGTAGAGGCAGAACTAGTGTTACTTAAGTCCTTTTGGCCAGAGCTTCCAAATAAAATAGATGCAGCTTATGAAAATCCCATCAAAGATCTTGTGTTCATGTTTAAAGGTGAGTTTTCAATTTTGTTGTTGGCAGAAAAATACACATATTAAATCAAGCTCAACAGGTGATATAGAGGTAATCAATTGAAGAATAAAACATCCTACCTTCCTTGCTCGAAAAACAAACGGTTTCACCTCATGCACATCTATAAAATTTTCTGTGAGTTAGATGTACAATTTAATTAGGATGCCCAGAATCATAGTATAAATAATCTAATACCTACTGAGTGTGTGACCTAACAATCTGTTTGTTTGTGTGAAAATAGGGGTCATGGTTTCCTCATTTTATTCTTTTCTCACAGCTGAGTCCTTGCAAAAGACTCACCCATACTTTGTTCATATTTTCAGGAAAGAAAGTCTGGGCTTTGAATGGTTACGACATAGTTGAAGACTTCCCTAAAAAGATATATGAAATGGGATTCCCAAAAGAAATGAGAAGAATAGATGCAGCTGTCCACGTTAAAGACACTGGCAAGACTCTCTTTTTTACTGGAAATAAGTACTGGAGGTAAGCTGGAGACGGTCAGTTTTGGTGTCCCTAGTCATAACCTGTCCAGCTGTACAGAAAGATCAGGAGTTTGGTTCAAACCAGGCATTTGGCCAATCCAGTCTGTGGTTTTCATTGGTGCTACAGCTCTCTACAACCTGTTGTAAAGGTGTATGCAAGGCTTTTACAAAAATATGGGCACAGATTTTAAAAGCTGAATGAGTGTAAGGAAATGAGAACAAAGTGCTCTAATTTCTAATGTGGTCATGCCTGCCAGACAAATTTCCCATCTTGCCTCCTTGAGTTGCTTGTGTGACATGCAATGGTATCAGTCCCACCCTAGGGTGTCTCTTTTTTACTGTCCATGAGTGGGGCTCACGCATAATTAAGACATTACCACCCCTTCCCACTATCACTGGACCAAGCAGCCTCAGGAGAGGTTTGTAGTACCAGTACATCCAGGTACAATTATGTCCATATAACACATACTTTATAGATCAGTTCTGAAAACTTAGCTCTATTTGCTTTGTGTTCATTCCACTTCTGATGCAGGTGTGCCATTTATCATCCTGCATTTTACCATTGCACTAGACAGAAAGCATCCAAAGACTGATGGCTTGCTTTGGGTGTGGGTGACTTCAACACATATAAAGGGCACAGGCCAAACTCCCAGGCTGTTCCAATCTCCTGATTTTTTTTCTTTTATTTTCAATATAGTTATGATGAAGAGGCAGAGGTTATGGACGCAGGCTACCCCAGGCTGATAGAGGAAGAATTCGCAGGAATTGGTGATAAAGTGGATGCAGTCTATGAAAGAAATGGTACGTAATCTGATAATGAAACTTTATTACAATTAATTGCCCTTGAAACTTGAGATTAATGTCTTGTAGAAAATTGTGCATTTGTAATTTTAATTTCTTCACATCAACACTTCTGTTTTCGACTGAATCAGTTTTCTGATCTAAATTATGCTCTGGCCAAAACAAGAGCTCCTTGCTTAGGGAACCTAAAGTGACATGCTTATAGTAGAAGTATTGTAATGTAATACCTGGAACCCATTCCTATCCAGCTTTTCAGGAGTGTTTCTGAGTCAGTGTCTTAAAATGCCAACCCTGTATCTTCCTGATCAAGTGCAATTAGAATTTGACACAAGATTAAAGAATATCAGTACTTTTAAAACTCTGATCCATCTTGTTCTAAATGGAATGAGGATCTTTAAAAAATTTAGCTCAGCATTCTAAATATGAAAATATTGCATTTGAATTATTAAAAATGTAAGCAACATAATTACTATTTTAAGAATAATTTTGATATGACACCACAATTTCTTAATTCTAATTCTAGAATTAGAATCTTTCTAATTCATTTTAACTTTCTTTTTCCGTAGGTTACCTCTACTTCTTCAATGGACCACTGCAGTTTGAATACAGCATCTGGAGTCAAAGAATTGTCCGTGTCCTGCATACTAACTCCTTGTTTTGGTGCTAATTACAGCTGAGTGCCATGTCATAGGCTGCAGAGCAGCTTGTAGTGCATGGGAATATTAGTAAAGTGGGCATTTAGGTGTACCAAAGGACAGCAAGGTTCTATGAACAAGTACTAGGCTACCTACCACCAAATGTACACTGTACATATGGACTTATACAGCGGCATGTCAGGCTGGAATTGATTTAACTTAATAGGAAAGGAGAAAAGAAATTGTTAGCATTTCAAGGTGCATTACACCATTTAAAGTTTGTCTAGTATTGGAGTGATGCTGGATACATCACACGCTTTCATGAACATTATTAATTCCCAGTATTCTGAGCACATCTAGCACCTTTCAAGGATCTCTTAGCATATCCCAAGAAATAGACCTGGTAAACCCAGGAGCTTTATGTTTTTAAACTAATTCGTCTTCCCTTTTTGAAATTCCTTTTAACATACTGGGAATTCAGATGTGTAATGAATGAGTGAGGAATGTATGGTGACTCCCTGAGCAAGTAACACTAAGAAGCAATGATGAAGTTTGGGAATTCAAAAGTATTTGACTATATTGAATGGGAATATCCCCCTGGAAGCAGATACCTATGTCATGTTTAGAACAAGGAGAAGGTACAGAAGCAGTGGGATGTCATTCCAAAGCAGACAGGAAAGCAGAAAAAGGGAAAAGTACTCCCTGGAGAAATTGTAAACCTGTATGACACTAGGAAAACCAGAAGGAAGCAGCTACAAGAGAATCATGCAGGTTGAAACTGTGCATGATGCTACATCTGGTATCACAGATCAGATATTTTCAGCTGGTGTTGACTGAAGTGACATTTATAGAGGTTATGCCGGTGCCAGAAGAGAACCTGAACATCCGAAGCAAAATATTGAAAAGAATATATTTTTTCATGTTGGCCACTCTTTTAATATCTATATTAGTTTTTTCAGTATATTGTAATATTTTGTTTTGTTCTGTTCTGTTTTGTTTTAATCAATGCAAATGATGTGGGACTGTGATTATTTTGATTTTTAAAAATAATATTAAATAAACTGGAGGAATAAATTGACATTGTGAAATTACTTAATTTTTTTATGCTCCCTGTCACAGAAGCAATACAGAGCTATTGGGCAAAAGAAATCAAGATCCCTAACCCATGCATTTTATTCATTAAGATTTTCACCTGTGTTTAAAAATAATTTTTTTTTTTTTTTTTTGCCCCTTCAAGAAAAATAATTTTATGGAAAAGAGGAAAGACAGAAGAGTGAAAAACAGAAAGACCCCCTCAAATCTGAAAAATGAGAACTAAGTTGGAATTAGACCTTATCATTACAGAAATAATGAGAAACTATCAAGAAATACTGGGGAAAACACTTACATCTTAGTTTGAATGTTAAATATTAGCAATTAATTAAAACTACATTGTCCTGTTCTGTCTTCTCAAAAACAACCCCTGAGTCAATCAATCAGCCAGGCCTGCCAAGCAAAGCTCACCAACAATTAATATCTTTAAACAGATATAAATGACCAGGCTTACCTAGTGGTGGGCTAGATATGGTTAATTATGTAGCTCACACAGCATAGATGGTTGGTTGTGATAATCTAACATATTGAGAGCTCTCTTCTGAACATAAAATTGTGAACTAGTGAATTACAGACCTTATTATGCTTAAAAGAAACACATGGAACTAGAACTGGAAAAACCTATACAAAATGAAAAATTTAAAGTGGACTAAAATCAAAGTTCATTTTATAATAAAACATTGAGAAAACTGCCAGGGAAAAAGTCAGTACAATTCTCTAAGTATAACAAACAGAATTTGGTTCAATTACATATAAAAGGTTTTGACAAAGTGTGCCTGGAACAAATAATGTTTGATATTGAAATGAAGTTTCACTTAGTTACTTTGGCAGTGAAGTAAGGCTTTGGACATAATCCTAATTTTTCTCAGTAAAAAGACTTGCTGAAAAATTTTATCAAAATAATAATGAATCTTCCATACGGACCAGCTGTTGAATCTGAGTCTTCTGTGTTTCAAAGGTTTGACATGAGCTACGCTGGATAAGGGAATGCAAATGTGGACAGGGAAGCAAGGAGAAGCAATGAATGTCTTTCACCTCTATGTGAATTTCTGTTAACATTAAACATTTGTCAGGGGAAAAAGGTACTGCATAGGAAGCTGAACCTTCAAAAGCCTTCAGCATGATCATATCCAGCTGCTATCCAGCCCAAACAGACAGATTCCTGTTAGCTGCTTGGCTGACTGGATGCAGCCTTTGGCACAAGTCCAAGCATGGCTCCAGCTTCTGTGTCCACATCCCCAGCGAGAGATGGGAGCTGTTCTGTGGTTAGCTCTACCTCAGCTGAGGAAAGTACCAGGCTGACAGTTCCTGGCATTTGGTTGAGAAAAGCAAAATGGAAAAAATTTCTTGTGCTGTGGAAAGAGAAGGCTGAGATCAGAGCCAGAGGGATCTTGTTGCTGCTGTCAGCCAGAAAGGAAAACTCTCCACAATACCTTGTGCCCTGGGACCCACTGGCACCATATGAGAATAACATTGCACAGGTGACTGGTGAGAATCAGATGGACTGTCACCCAAGACTGTCAAGAATTGAAAAGAAGTAAGTCTTTTTCCAAAGGCAGAGACTGAACTGACTGGTTTCCCTGAGATGTGAGTGGAGAAAGGACCACAAGGAGGCTGAAGCAGCTGTCTCCCAAGATATAATACAAGCAGAACTAATAACTTCCTACCAGGTTGCCAGTTTTTTATGTGGAACTCCATAAATCCACCTACTACTAGGGAATGGACAGAATTGTCTGTACCTAATAGCAGAAACTTATCAGGGAGGTTTAGGTTGGATATTAGGAAAAGGTTCTTCACCCAGAGGATGGCTGGGGACTGGACCAGGCTCCCCAAGAAAGTGGTCACAGCACCAGCCTGACAGAGCTCAAGAAGCATTTGAACAATGCTCTCAGGCACATGGTGTGACTCTCGGGGATGTCCTGTGCAGACCCAGGAGTTGGACTCGATCCTTGTGGCTCCTTTCTACTCAGCACATTCTGTGATTTTGTGATTCTGTGATTCTACGACTGATTCTGTGACTAGTACATGAACAGTTATTGATTAACGTGTCTTTTAAATCCATGTTGATCTCTGCTATAAATGGTAATTTGAAAAGGAACAAAGGATAAGGTAAGAAAAGGAATCTGTCGGATTCTCCTCAGGGAGTTTTGTGTGCTGGTTACATGATCCTGAACAAGGAGGATTTAGAGAATGCAAACATATATTCCAGGTGAGGAAAAAAAGTAAGCAAACATAATTTAAACTTTCCAAAGTGAGAAATTAAGCAACAATATAAGAAATTCCATGAACTACATGAGATCTACTAGTAGCTGAGAAACTTGAAGAGGAATTCAAAGTTATAAGGAAGTTTTTTTTCCTTAGCATAATCTCCAGAAATCTATTCTGAAGACACTAGATGGCAGTGACAGCTTTGCTTCTTTGAGACTTTGCACAGAATTAAAAATTGTAATGGTGGGTGAGGAAGCCACAATTAACTATTGTGAGTTCTTATATTATGTAAAGACATAAAAACCCTCAACACTAATAAATAGAATTTAAATATTTCTTCTATTGAAATGCAAATCACTGAGTAAAAAGTTATGATATAATAATGTTCAGGAAGCTTCTAGATATATTCACTATCAGGGATACTAATTTTTTAGTCTTTTCCAGAATTCAATGCAAAGCACTTCAAACAGTACACCTTTGTCCTAGGCACAATGTAACCCCTTAGTCTAACCCCATTGACTGGAAAATTACACATGCACATATATAGATATGTTCTAACTGCCTGGGAACATTGCAACCCTTAATGGATCCTTACTGAGTCTGGAAAGGAGAATTTATTGCTTCAGTATTTTCTCAGACTGGCTTAAACAAGGATTTAGACCTCAGCCTTCAGCCTAAGTCAAGGAACTGCACATTCACTTCTGTCACGGTGGGTGTGTGTTCACCTGTTCTGTTGGAGGTGTTTTCTGTTCGCACATATACAATTAAACAGTACTTTGTGGAAATACTGATGGCCCACTAACCAGAAAGCTTATCTGGGATGTAGGATCAAGACCTTCTGTCAATTATTTTTAGGGGTTTTTGCACAAAGAGGGGTGTCTGCACACATTGTGAGTCCATACCACTTTTGGGGTTTGGTGGCTCTGCTGCTTCTGATGAAAAACGTTTCCAAGGAAAATCTCAGTAATTCTCCCTGAGATGATGCAGAGGGTACAAAGCCCACACAGATTACCTCCAGCCTGTGATTCTTCTCTTTCCTGCTTAACACAGGGGATGTGGTTGGTACATCCACTTTAGTCACAGCCTTTCGATTATATACTGTAGTTTGAATTTCCAAGCAGTGCTGTTCAGGATTACCCCTGGCACTCACTTCACCTATCTGCCACGTGCTGTGCTACAGAGAGTGTGCTCTCCCCCTGCCCCTTTACTCACAGAAAATGGATCAAAGAATATCTTCCTCTAAGGAAACTCTTACCAGGCAGCAGACAAGCAACTTTCAGTTCCTTATTTAAATGTCATATAACAACTTTCCTACTGCCACAGTAATACAGGATGCTGCATTTCTGTGTACATTGGAATGAGCTATCCATGTTGTGTCTTTACTTTTTGTTGGACTACACCAGAGTCCTACCACTGGGCAGGAGGAGCCTGATGGAGCAGTGTCCTCAGAATAGTCAAATACATACTCTGTAGTCACTGCTGAACCTTACATGCGTCATGTTCCTGTTCTGGTCTTCTTAAAAGAGGAAGTTGGGTCATTTCCAGGGCCAAGTGTTGCTTTCTTAGCCCAAATGACAATATTACAGCAGTCTGTAATCTCTCTGTAATTTCACAGGGATTACCACCCTAGGAAGAAAGTAAAAAAAATTTCTTTTTATTTCTGCATGATTTTTGTTGTGTGAATATATCCTTTACAGGAAGAAAAAAATTATATTACCCTCCTCAGAGTTTGTCATCCTAAGAAGAACTTGTGAAAGTCTGTTGGGAATCAGCCATGTCTGAAGGGTCTGGAGTTGACAGTGTCCTTCCCACTATCTGTTTATGTAGAAAATATCTTTTTCAGGCTCAGCTTGGACTGATCTACGATTCTATGATTATATGGTTAAATTAATGGTTCCAGCTTTTTTTCAGGAGAATCAGGAGATTTTAACATATAAATCTTACTCCTGGTTCAAATTATGTGCTATTTTGCTATAGCACATTGGTGGTACAATGGCAAATAAATCAGGCAGAGCTGCATGATGGGGTCAAAAAGCATCAGTGGTGCAGAGAAGGCAGGGTGAGACAAGTGCCAGGAAAAACTTGGTCATGAAAGCTGCAAGGACCCATGGGATGAAACATCATGTTTGAGGTCTCCCAAGGGAAACTGCCGTACAAATAAGCCAGGACAGAATGGTCTGTGCAATGCCACAGTACAGTTTCATCATGGGGTAGCCAGGATGTGCCAGGCAGCTGGAACAACTGAGCTTGGTAAAATGCTTGCTCTCCTCCTAGCTACATATTCTGATCTGTTGGTCTCAGCTGATTAGATTAGACCCTACAGGCAAAAACAATAAAGGAAAGCCATTTTCATTATTCTGGTTGAGCCTAAACACAAGGTTGGTTTATGTCTCAAAGTAGCCCATATCAGAGAGTAAGCTGATAGCTGGGCTATCCAGCTGTACTTTCCAGGAATCACCTAAGGACTCTTCCAAGTGGAAAGTTTGGGTCTGTAACACTAATCATTTAGCACACCTTTTTTTTTTTTTTTTTTTTTTTTTTTTTTTTTTTTTTTGAGAAAGTGCTTTGGGAAGATTTTTGTAGTTCCAATGTAGATAGTCTGCACCAAAACACAGGGAAAGAAGCTCCAGTAGGGTCACTTGGCTCACCAATTATCTTGTATATGAGAACATATTTCCAACGCTGATGTCAATTTCAGATTAAGAGACAAAAATTAAATTACACACTCAAAGTAAAACAGAAATGTCCTATTAAAATTCTGTTAAAAATCATGGTGCA